GTTATGTGTATCTCCTTCAGGTTTATGCATGGCTCTCCACACGAACACTCATACCATCTTGAGATTTAAAGTGGCTGGCAGGTAGGCCTTTGGTTGTGTTGCCACCCCACTGGTGCAAGCGCTCTGCATTTCTCAACACAGTAACTGTTTTATTTTGATTGACAGTTGGACACACAAATTGCTTGGCTAGCTGTGCCACTATGTATGGGCCTGCATCACTGCTAACTCAGTTATCCCTTTACGGCTAGGTACCACCATATGAATCACACAAGACTAACACTAACAATCTGCCACATACCACTATATAATTAACATAAACTTTTTCTCAACAAAATTAATAATAAAGAAGGAAATACAAACAAGATAGTTTGTTTCTGAGTCCACATAAATTCTTTAAAAAATCCATATAAATCCGTTAATACTATATTTTTATTTAACTCTCTTACCCGGAAAATCCTACTTGATTTATTTTTTCAAACGCAGAGGAGATATATGTTCCGGGTCGGCCCATCTCAACCAATTTTTTCTTTTGTGTTCATTGTTTTTTCACCCGTTTCTGTCTTTGTCGAAGCTTTGATTTATTCTGGTTTTCTTTTTTTCTTTTGGATTTTATTTATTTTCACTTTTATTATTTTTATTAATAAATATATTTATCTATACAATAATATTTTTAAATACACATTAAATACTTTTTAAGACATTATGAATTTTTGGATATACGATGGATATTTTCCAAACATACATTGAACATTGTAAAATAAACGGTTAACATTTTTTTACATACACCACAAACACAAACATTCTTCAGCAAACAACACACAACAAACATTTTTTAAGAATACATGCTAAGATTAATGTGGAGCTATCTTAATTAAGAAGTTGTTAGCTTGTAACTAGAATCCCTCGTGTGCTGGAGGCTTGCTAGCGATCCTTAAGAGGTTGTTTTGATCAATAACGCATGGTCATATGAATCTAGTTTGCAGGTTAGAGTGTAGTGCTCTAGACGATCATGACCAAATTAGAGGACCTGCCCTACCGTATCTTGAAAACATTCATCTACATGCAGAGCTTTGGATGCAACTGCAAGCAGTCATGACAAAACACAACAGGGAGCAACCATGGCTACGATCAAAACAATTACATTCATTGATCATAGGCATAATACTCACGCCGCAAGAAGGTAAACTCAAAAGGGTAAAAAGACAATGCACTGAGACAACGCGCCTCCCATAGGAGGATACCGACATCAGCTACGTCTCACTCGTCCGAGTCAAGGGCTCTCACCGGGTTGGAGCAAGTCAGATTCCACAATGTCGTGATGAAAGCCCAGCTGGTTGATCGCCTTGACGCACACCAAAGCCTATGCTTGTAGCAAAGCCCGCGCATGGTCCAAGACATCAACTCTGGCCGCACGAAAGTTGTCTGGATCAAAGCAGACCACACATACTGCAAAATTCAGCTTAACTTACCAAGTTTTGGTTGCATTATATCCTTGCATATTCTGCAAATCTCAGCCCAGAACTTTTGACTGCATTACCTTCTTGTATTATACTGCAAAATTCAGCTCGAATTACCAAGTTTTCTCTTTTGAGAACGTGAGGTTTTGCCAAAAGGTAATGGGCTTTGCAGATTGTGGGCTGTGAGGACAACAAAGGCCTACTAACGCGGCAAGTCATTAACCCTAGCTCAGGCAGGCCGAGGCCGCACGCTTCTCCGAGGACGAGCGACGGCGGCGCGGGCGACACACCAGCTCGCTTTGCGGCGGCGACTCCGCGCGGAACGCGGCCAGGTTTGACCGTCAGCCCGTCGATCCCAAATCCCCAGCTCCGAACCAAGCTTGGAAAGCCAACATCTCCGATCGATCAAACTCGCAGGTTCGCCGACGCCATGTCGTCGTTCGCCGGCGTGTCGGTCGTCGACGGCGTCGATCTGTGCCCCCCTTGCGCCGGGTCGGCCTGCGAAACCAACGCCTACTGCGGGTACCACCTGCTCGTCGTCCAGGGCTACTCGCGCGCCAAGGAGAAGGCGCCCACCGGGGAGAGCATCATCTCCCGGCCCTTCAGGGTCGGATGCCATACGTGGCAGATCGAGCTCTTCCCCAACGGCGATAACCCGAGCTGCGCCGACTTCGTCTCTCTCTACGTCTGCCGCCTCGACGACTATCTCAACAATGCCGTGGATGCCAAGTTCAGTCTCAGTTTCGTCGACCAGGCCGAGAAGCAGAAGCCGGTGTACATTCTTGGGACCGAGACGTGCAGCTTCCCCCATGGCGGTTCTCGGGGCCACCGCAAGTTCATGAGGAAAGACGCCCTTGAACGATCGGAGAATATGAGGCGTGATGGTTTCACCGTCCGGTGCGACATCATGATCTGCTGCGAGGAGGATGACGACGCCGGTGGCACCGCCCCGCCTCGCTACATATGCCAGCATTTTAACACTCTCCTTGAAAGTAAGGTGGGCGCTGATGTGACCTTCGAGGTCAGCGGCGAGACGTTCGCTGCGCACCGGTGCGTGCTTGCTGCCCGATCGACGGTCTTCATGGCGCAGCTCTTTGGCCCCATGAAGGAGGGCACCACGTCCAGTGTCATACAGATTGAAGACATGGAGGCAAAAGTGTTCAGGGCTTTGCTTAGGTTCATCTACACAGACTCATTCCCTGAGATGGAGAAGGAAGTCATCCAGGAGGAAGCACAAGAAGTGGAACAAGGACAAGAAGAGGATGAAATGCGTTTGCAATGGTTGTGAGGCTTATTTACGGCGGCAGACAGATATGACCTCCAACACCTCAAGTTCATCTGTGAAAAGCAGTTGTCTGAGGACATAGGTGTGAGCTCGGTGGCGTCCACTCTTGTTTTGGCCGAGCAGCACGACTGCCACGGGTTGAAGGTCGCGTGCTTCAAGTTTATCCAAGCCCAATCTCCCTCCTGTTTGAAAAGGGTAATGGCAACTAATGGCTGGGGGCATTTAATGACGACTTACCCCTCTATTTTGAATGAGGTCATTGCCAAGCTTGCTTCGAAAAAGCGGAAGAAGCGCTCTACATAGATTGTAGCTCCGCGTCTTGCTTTTGTCTCGTCCTGTAATTTGCCTATATGCGGAAGTATCAGAAAGATCCAACATATGGGCAAATTGTCTCTTTATGGAATGGATGGTCTGTTAATTCAGGTGTCAGTGTCAGCATTGAACTGCATTGCAGCAATGTGCAAGTTCCCTAGCTAGTTAGTCTTATCCTTGTATATTTCTTTGTGCACTAATTGTGTTGTATATTATTGCTTTGTGCCTTAGATGTTTTTGGAAAGGCATTTTATGAACCGGGATTTATGGGAAATAATTTGGAAGACAAGACAGGGGTCTCCAAGAATCGTGGTTACAGTGAGAATGATAATGTGAAAATCTTGGTCCAGTGCCTACGAACCTTCTCCTAGCTACTTGGGTATACTTTTTCTTTACATTATTTATCATAAAATCCTTATCTTCCTCGCTCTGGTTGTTGTTTCATAATACAGTAGAGATAAGTTTTGCATCTATTTTGGTAAGAATTTGATGATCTCTTCGCAACAGATAACTTTGTCCTGGGAAATTCTCCTGGGGCTGTATTCATTACCACATACCACAATCGCAGGTTCCAATAAATTCTTCAGCCTTCTCCACTAGATAAAACTGCTGGGAGCTACTCACCTAATATATCGTCTCGATTCTTTTGTGCAGTAATCATTACTTGATTGAATTTTTTACGGTGAAGTGGTGTTTGAAGCTTCTGTATGGCTTCTCTTTCCTCACCTCTTGCAAGGCTGATCACTTCAGGGAAATATTCAGCTCGTTGAAATCACACTTGAGAAGGAAAAACCAAAATGAACTTCAGGTAGATAATGGGAGTACATTATCTTCATATTACTGATTATATAAAAAAAATACTGCATCTGGTGTTCAGGATGGTTCTTTTTCTTGATGTGTTCCAGCCTTACAGGAGTTGGCTGACAGCATGTACATGACAATGGAATGTTTGGGTCTTCACTACCTATGACTGCACATTAGGTAACTCCTGGAGCTCATAAATTATACTCAGGAATTTCTTTCTGGAAGGAGTTTATTTTTTCGATAAAAGGATTTGTTTATTGCAAGGGAAACATTCTTATTTTCCAGGTTTCGTCATTAGTTGAACCATGCAATAGATTTGGCAAGCAAAAACACAATACCTGATCCAACCGATCATAATTACAGACGTGCGTTGCTTGTACATTCATTGGTTGAAGTATTGCCTTGTTTAAATTCATGAATCAACAACCTTCATCCATGTGCTTCTAGTTTAGTTCCTCCCAAATAATGCACTAATCTAATGTGAACCTTGTATGCTTAAATTGCGAGGAGCTTTTGTTTTGATAGATCATAGAAAATGTGCTAGTAGTTGTACCTGGAAGTATCGTGATTATGCGATTACGTGAAGAAGAAACAATTAGGAGAACAAAGGGAGAAGAGAGGAAGGCAGAACCGGGTAGAATTATAAAATTGGATGAACCGTTCAGCCTCCAAATTCCCGACAGAAAAAATTAAGCGAACCTCATTCATTATTCGTATCAAACTAACATACATTTCTCAAGCATTGTCTGTGGGGAGACAATCAAGTTATATAGTGGAGGACTCAAAGCACATAAGCTTTCTATGAACTTCAAATGATTTTGATTCCAAAGCTTGCTTTGCAGTTCGGTAGACTATTAAGTTTGAAAGTATCAGAATAATGTTCTACTAAATCGTCAGAAAAGCCAACAGACTCCCTCGCTGCGGCCACTACAAGAGGCTTCAGTATCGTCCCGGTAAAGATGCAGTTGTCCGGAGTTGGCTCACGAATTCTACACAAAAATATGGCATCTGTGCAAGGAAAACGGGCCAATGGCCGATGAGATCTGAGCTCCGACTCTGAATTGAAAAATAAATACGCAATTGGCCAGCGCGGATAAAAAAAGAAACAGATGTGCATGTGCGTGGGACAAAAGAAACGATATAAGAAAACAGTGCTCATTATGAGTGTTTCAATGGAAGTGAGCATGCAACGAATCAATGTCCCGAAGCGTGCTTGTCCAGTTAATCGTTGTCTGGAAAGCAAAAGGGTGTAACATTAGCACTGACTACCTTTTGGTGTCAGCAGATTCCTCTCAAGTTCTTGCAGTTCTCAAAGCTAAGAAAGTTATCCTTAACTTTGAGCCACTCAGCTGGTTTCTGCATGAAGATTGGTAGGTAGTAGTATTAGACAAGTTGTTGATGACAAAACCTGTTTGCTTTGCGATGAGCCTGATCGAAGTGTTAAGCACTTATGTTGTTTGAATGTGTGATCTCTAGATATCTCTGGTCTGAATTTATCCATGACTCTGAATTACGATCTTAACATCACGCTGATGCTTGTTCTGTTAGCCATTTATTCATTGGTCCTGGCATGCAGTCCTAGTTGCATTTAGCATGTTCACATGAGCATCTCTTTATGAAATCTTTGTGTTTTCAGGGGAAGAAAATTAAGCAACGGAGACCGATATGCACTAACTTTCTTCGGGATACTGTCACTGCTGGCCGACTAAACTGAGGGCTCTGGAGGCCATGTACTTGAAGGCCGACACCAATTGGTTTCTCAAGGCCAGACAGTGGTTGACAGTGGAAGACGTAATAGACGTAAACCCTTGGCAAGAAACACAACACTGCATACTCATTAAATCTGCACATGTGTTGTTCAAACAGATCATGTTTGGCCTTCCTTCCAGCTGGGGAAACTATACAGTGTGTAGCCAGCAAGAACAACAAACTCCAACGTTTCAGCACTTCAGCAATTGTGCTGCGAGTGGAGCGTAAGTTGAGCGCGGTCACTGGACCATTTTACTTATTCAAATCCGCAACTAAAAGCGCAAGAAGAAAAAGTAGGCACGGCAGACATTTCATGGGTTCAAAGAAGAGTGCGAGTGGGGAAGCTGTGACCATGTCATCTGCCTGACAACATTTTGTTGAATCAGGTCAGATGCTTATAAACTACATCAGATGGTGGAGGAGCCGAGGGGAAGTTCCACGGGTCCAACAGCTCATGATCAGGAGGGGCAATTTTCCTGGAATAACATTTGGTCCAGTCCTTGGTCGAACCCAAAGTGATTGGACCCTTCCCTGGACGCTGCACAAGTAGGAGCTACGTGCACCGGGCTGCCCTTTTTAACATTTGGTCCAGCCCATGCCCTCCAAATGCGCGGCAATTACTGTGGACAATCACACACGACAGTCTTCCCCATAGGCCGAGTATCACGAGATGGGGCATTGAGGTAATAGTTGATCTTTCAAGTTTGCTGGCGTTTGGATGAGGATGGGGTGCATACATTTGTGCGATGCAAGGGAGTGCATCAAGTATGGCGTCTTCTGGGCATGGAAAAGGAAAGATGCAAGCCTGTGGAATCTTCAGGTCCAAAGGAGATGCTGCATATGGTACTGCACATGGGAAACAAATATATGATCAAGATTACAGCGCTGTTGTGGACGTGGTGGAAAACGAGGAACAAAATCAATGCTGGACAAGGAATTATGAAAATCGATGAGGTGGTAGCAGCCATGGTAGGCAGATGTGTAGTCGAATACGAAGAACTCTACCTTCCGCATCTGAGAACTAACCTAACTGGGCAGTGGAGCAGAAGCGGAAACTGCCGGTCACTGTTGTGGGGAAAATCAACTGCGATGGGTCTTTCGATCCAAACAACAATGCTAGTGTGGCTGGGCGGAGAGGCTGAAGGGGACTGTGTTAGGTGGCAGCAGCAGGTCGTCTCCACAGGGCAGCTGCTGCTTTACAAGCTCAAGCGATTGCATGTCTAAGCAGCTGTTCGTGCCGCAGCAGATCGGGCTATCAAGCGAGTGGAGGCGGAATCAGATGCTCAAGTGCTCGTCTAGGCGTTGCAGAGCAAGGACCATGACCTCTCGGCTAATATGTTGATCTTCCATTCCAGGAGGTAAAGTTTATGGTGGCTCAGTGTTTTGATAGGTTTTCAGTGTCTTTATGTCCTAGAACTTGCGTCGCCCCGTCCTCGCGTCGCCCCCGCCCTGGGCGACTCGGGGGCTCTGCAACCCTAGACGCTGCCGCCGCCCTCTCCTTCTCCCCTCCTCGCGCCGCCGCCGGGCGGCGGGGGGACTTCTTCTCCCGACTCCCCTTCCTCCGCGGGCACGGATCTAGGCGGCAGGCGGCGGTGTCCTGCGGTCGGGCGCGAGGTGGCAGAACTCGGCGAGCTGTGGTGGGCCTCGGCAGGCAGTGGCGGGTGCTGGGCTCACGGCGGCGCCCCGGCATGCGCAGGCGGCGGTGGCACCTGTGCCCGGTCGGCGGCTCCCTCTTCGACCCGGACGGGGCGCGGGGTGGCGGCGGCCCGGCATGGCCAGCGATCTAGATGCGGTGGGGCCGGCGGCTCGCTGGTCTGCCGGAGATCCAGGGGCATCATCGTCTCCGACTCGATCTGCTTCGGTTCGTGCTAGCTCAGGTACAGGGAGATTGTCGTCATCTCCCGGTGCTGGCTACATGGATCTGACGGCGACGGCTAGACCCTTGGTCTAGTCTTCGGCAGAGAAGGTGGCGGTCCATGCACAAGAAGTGGATGGAGTTCTTCGAACAGATCTGGGTGAAAACCTGCTCTTGGCTAGATGCCAAAGCCGGCGGTGGCGGCGCTCTACGGTGTCGTTTCCTTCTTGAAGGCATCGCCGTGGAGAAGTTCTAGACTACGATTTGCTACCTCCGAGGGAAA